AGACTGTATATACACGTGATGTTTTTAGACATGAATACATAGTGTTTCACACTGAAAATTGAAGACAAATCATTTAAGACTTTCTCTGAGCTGCTACTTCAGAAGATATGCCCTCTGGGGAGAGGTGTGTTCAGTTCTTCTCATTAAGGCTGGAGTCCTTTGCTGGGCCTGTAGAGCCTTCATGATGCCTGCAGAGCTACATGTTCTCTGTTATGTTAAGCTGGTATCAAGAAGTGCAGACTCTGTGGGACTTAGGCTAACTCTGATGTAGCAACATCTTGAGTATTGCTGATGAAAACTAAGAAGATTAAACTCTGTGTAATCTGGTAATCTTTATGTAAGTGAAGTCCAAATTACCATAAGCTCTTCAGAACATTCATTTGTGGATCAGTAAGAAGGGAAAAATAACTAAAACTAGCTCAAGTTGCAAATCTGTGGGTCTTTCTCTTTTACAGTAAAAACCCTTCAAAGATGCTTTGGAATAAGAAAACTATTCTTGTTTTACCTTCTTAAGGGAAAACAGCTTTGAAGCACAGTCATATCTGTTCCTGAGTTAACACACAGTTACATTGGATTTATGGAGACTATTAAGACTGATTATTTTAATGCTCTCTCACTATTTCATAAAAGATTACTTTCAAAATTGAACTGCTCTGTCTTGGTGGTATTGCCATTTTACTAAATGTGGATATTGTGTCTTATGATATTTTTTTTTAATGCATTCAAAATGAAGAAATATGTTTATGGTATTCAGTTGTATATACAGATAAAACAAGAAACAAGGCAGTAAGCTCAGAATGCCACCAAGTTGCACAGATCTTCATTCTATTAAATTTACAAAATTGTAACAGATTTGCTTTGGCTTTTAAGATCTTATGATTACGCTAATTGTACTGACATTAAGTTTGCTTTTCTCAGTTACCATTTGTGATGATTCCCTGTAGACGAAACATGCATCTGTACAGTTCCCCAGGCTTCAGGTTTACCCTGCTTGAGCAATGTGAATTATGTTGTTGTCCTGTGGTGTCGATTGAAAGGCCTAGGCAGAGTTTTAAGTACAACCTCTGTCAGACTTTAATCTTCATCAAATAGCAAGTGAGAATCACTTATTATCTGGAAGAAAATTGAGAGCAGCTTCCTCCCAGTCTTCACAGTTGTAATTAATTTGCCGCTTCACCCATGGTTCATATCAGAGTTTTCTGAAGTAAGTTGTCTTTTCTGTAGCCCAGGAGTCTGTCTGGGTTTCAAGCTTCAAGGCAAAGATCTCCACAGCTATGCTGAGGGGTCTGAAGTGACATCTATGTGGAATCATTCTTCAGGACACTTCTACATCGCTAACATCCACACAAAATCTACTTGCACTCAAACCATGCTAGGGAATCGTTGAAAGAGCATTAATTGGGTTATAATAACAATTGGGCCAAGATGTTTCATATGTGCTTTAATACTGTGGACTTCTGCTGCCTGGGAACTTTTTGTGGTGCGGTTTGATTAACTACTAGAGGCCCCTTCTCCAGCCCCAGAGGCACAGGTGTTGTGTGAACAAGCTGGAACAGCCAATGATTAGCCCCACTCCCTGTTCCCGACCATCATGGTAAAGGCTCCTCCTCACTGAACAGCCAGTCTTGCCCTGGATGCATAACCATTACTCAGCAGTAATCAAATACTCGCCCCAAACAATTCCTCTTTACTCAGTGAAGCTCAGGCAAGCTGGATGATTGGCCATTCATGATAGGGAAACTTCTAATTTCAGTAAGAAGGTTTTTTTCTCTGCAAAATCTCTGCTGTTGCTTTGAGATGAATTGCAGTGGATTACCATAGTAATAGACCACCTGGACATTGTTAATAAGGAATTTGATGAAATATTAGTTCTAAAATGAATTTTAGATGAGCTTTTTCCTGCAGCAAGTAAAAGGAGTTGTATCGGATCATGATTTCTTGTCAGAAATAAGTTGTACTCTGCTCAGGTTGTTCAGAGGTACCATATAATTCAAGCACTCACTGCGTGCCAGCTCTGAGCATCCATTTCTCAGTGGCAGTTGAGTTAGATTTTAAACTTACGTCTGTGAGTTGTGATGTCTTACTATATAGCTCTTTCCATATTTTAGTTCTGTATTTGAAAAGGCAGTCACTTTGTACGTTGAGCAGCATATCAGCATGTACCCCAACGAAGTCATTCAAATATCTTCTTCAGTTGAAATTAAGTCTTGCTGAATTTCAAGATTTATGGTTCATACTGAAACACTGCATTGCTCCCACGTAGCAGAGGATGATACTTCTCCAAGAGCACTATTTGTTTGTCCAGTCACATGGGAAGCTGCATATTGCTGTTGATGCCGAATTCTTCCTAGAATGTACTGTAAGAGACACCTTCATGAAGATGAGGCTTTGGTGGGTCTCGCCATGTGAAGATGCAGAATATTATAAATATTTCATCTCTCAGTCTGTAGGCATTGAGCAGGAAAAAAAGAGGACTTTGTTGTTTTGTATTACTCAGATAGTGTGCATTTTGGGCTTCATAAATTTTACTCAGGTGGAGATTTCAGTAGTTTGAAAACGGCTTCTTTTTTTTTTTTTATAGACACCTTAAGGGTGGCTTATATTGTGAAACTTCTGTTAAGAGATGATTTTTCTTTGCATGATTTATGCCTGAGGCTTCTTTAATAAAGGCTATGAATCAGTAATGGATTAATATTCCTCTGTCAACTGCACCTTTACCATTTGTTTCAGATTATTATTTTAAAAGACACAAACTATTCAATTCATAAAGTTGTTTATATGTATTTCAAAAATTAAAATGCTGTAATTTAATTCTAGTATCTGAATGTTGAAAACCCTAGATTAGAAAATTTTAGTTCCATTAACCATCAGGGCAATCTGTCTATGTCCTTTTTAGGTCAGTTTCTTGACGCGCTGTCCCGAATGTACCATTACATAGCATGCAAAATATATATTAAAAATCTATAGAAATAATTCTGTTAGGTTTTTTGATTGTTTTGTTTTTTTTTTTCTTTCCATTTGTTGGCATGGCATTAGGAATTGTTTGTTATAAGAAATCTTGTTAATCCTTTTTTTGCATGTGGTTATAATGAAACCGAAGTTAACTTGAAAGAATATTGCACTTAGAAAAATGTCTTTGTTCTTTCAGAGGATGCCAGCACTTAAAATTCAGAATCAATTTTGTTGCATGAAAATTCAAATGGAATAGAAAATTGGAAGTATACATTAAATGTATAATCACAGAATCGGAAGGGACCTCTAGAGGTCGAGTCCAGCCCCTGTGCAATGCAGGCCCCCTACAGCAGGCTACACATACAGGTGTCTGGCTAGGTGGGTCTTGAATATCTCCAGAGAAGGAGGATCCACAACCTCTCTGGGCAGCCTGTTCCAATGCTTTGTCACTGTGAAGCGGTTCCTTTACACGTTGGTGTAGAACTTCTTATGCTCAAGTTTATGGCCATTTCCCCTTGTCCTGTCCCCACAGACCGCTGAAAAGAGGGTAATAGTAATAATAGTAATTTTTCTTACATATACTAATATCTTTGATTACAGTGAATTAATTTAGCACACATATAGGTGTCATGCATTTCTGTTATAATCCTTTTGTAATTTACTCAACATAACATCATTGCACGTTGTAGCCACTTCCTCAGATTTATTCTCCACTGAGATTTGTCCTTTTTTCCTACTGCTCAAAAATAAAATAGGTGCAACATTGAGGTTGTGGTTACTTTCATGCCAGAAAAATCATTGGTCATTTTAATTACATTTTGTTCTGTCAAAATAATCTCTTTTTAAACTCTGTGGTACTGTACTGTTAAACTGTTGGCTAATTCTGACTGGTTTTGGCTGATTGAATCCATGACCTCTAGATCGTAGAGTCACACAGGTGGCAGGGAATCTCTGCAGGTTTCTGCTTCATGCTTCAGCTCAAAGCAGGTTCAAAACTCAGGGCTCTGTCCCATCTTTAAAGATAGAGGTCCCGTACCTGGTTCCCCATTCCTGTGTTTGGCAGCCCTCATGGCAGTAAGTGAGTAAATAAATAACATGATCCCTAATTGATTTCCTGTATTCTGGCTTCCATCGATTTCCTTTCATCCTGTTACTGTGCAGCCCCAAAGATTGTCTGGTCCCATCATATCCAAACCCTCTCACTGTGGGTATTCCTTGGTCCAGTGAGACTCTCTTTTCTTTCACTTTGGAAAACTGAGCAGCCTTTCAGCCTTTTTTAATAACTTGTATGCTGCAGTACCTTGTTGGTCTTGTTGATCTGTATTACAAAATATCCAGCATAGCAAAGTCTGACACGTGCTCTGATATTAGAGAAAGATATGTACACAAAACAGGATTTCAGGTGTAAAAAGCAAAATACTGGTATTCCTTTACTTCTGAATCTTTCAAAATCTTTCTGTTGTCTTTAGTCTCAAATACAGCTTAATGTTGTTTTGTTTTGTGTTCTGCTTAAATAACTTCAGTGGTAACTAAACTTCAGAGAGAGCACAGATTAATTAAATTTCAAATTGCAGTTTACAGAAGATTATGTTCATCTTACATCACTGGGGCAGCCTAGGAGAAGGTGTTTTCTTTAGTGATTTTCCTTTGTTTCTGAGTTTCTAAGTCAAAGCATATGGAAGAATGTGATTTAGCTTTTCAAAGTGCATACAAATTAGGTGATTATTCATTTTTTCATAAAGCAGAACTGAAAAACAGTAGAGTCATAGCAGCCTTGCCCATAGGATATTTTGTTACAAAATATCTTTCTTCTGAAGGGCTTGAGATAGCATGCTCCTAATTCCTGTAGAAAGAAATGAATTTCTAAATGCATATTTTTTTGCTAACACCATATGGCCTTATGTATATAAAGGCCATTTATGCTAGCAGGCTCAAGAAGTGAATATGTAGTGTGTCTTTTAACGTTACTTCTGTTAAAGCATAACAATTGCTGTGTTCTTTATTTTCATTCTCATTTCAGTGTTGATCTTTCTGTTTCCTCTTTTAAGGAACCTCTCTTTGAAACTGTCGAAGGAGGTAGAACAAGGAGAAGCCAGGTATCCCCGAATTAGCCAGCTGGCTGGCAGCCCATCTGTGGAGTGGCCTTTTACTGGTTTGGAAGAAGGCGGAGGCATTGAATCTTTGCCCTTCAGACTGATGCTGCAAGATTGCACAGCTGTAAAGACATTGCTACTGAAAATGAAGAGGGTTCTTCAGGAGGTAATTGCCCACTCATTTGTTAAATTAATAGCTTTCTGCATTAATGAGCTAAGCAGCGAAAGAAGGTCAGAAGAGTTCATGAACTTGATGTCTCATAATATGTTCTGAATATATGGAGTTGCTGCAGAAATACAAATAGCCCTGCCTCAGTGTGGCTAAAGTCAGAAAGTTTATGCAGTAGCAGTTTAACAGATGCTGCCATCTTGGTGCGCAGAGAATAAAGCTGCTCTTCAGCTTTCACCTAAAAGATGGTGGATTTATTTAGATCAAAACAAATTGTGTTGTCTTCCTCTCTTATTTTGGAATTTTACAGTTTTCTTACTGCATTTGTTAATCAGTATGTAGTCACATGCAATTTATTCAGAGAAGAGATTCAAAGGGAAAAAAATGTTCTAAGTAGAAGTACTAAAGGTTACTCTCCTGGGCATGTAAATGGCAGATTAAAACAGATTTCTTAGTTCATTATATCAGTGTTAAGAGTGTTCACTTGTCCTGTCCTGCTACATTCTTCGCCTCTCCCTTAGAATGCTGGTGTTTATTTGAACATCACCTTTTGCATTGTATAGGATTTTAGAACAAAATAAATTATAAGTTAATGGCAAGTTTTCATCTTGATGTCAGTGCACTAGAAGAGCACTTTTGTTCTTTGATATCTATAAAAATTACTGTTTTTTAAATTTGTTTAATTCATAGACTTTTAGAATAACTTATGTTTAGAGGATTCTATGGAGATGCAAACCCTCTGCTCAGAGCAAGGCTCCCTTAAAATAGGTTGCTCAGTGCCTTGCCCATTTTCACTCTTGCCCACTTTTCAGTACGTTAGTGGGAGTACCTTAATGGGGCCTCCACAGCCTTTTAGGGCAACCATGCCAATGTTTAACTACATCATTGCAAGCTTATTACTTAAGATATATTCAGAATTTCCACTGATGCAATTTCATCATATGAAGTGACATTTGCCTGAGACAAATAAAGCTTTGATAAGTTCTTTGTTGAATACAGAACTGAAATAATTAATTTTCAATCAGTTCTTTCTCATGTAATGTGGGGATATGGAGCAGGATTTGTAACCACATCAAAAATGCAAATAAATATTAAGGATTATAATATTACAAGACATATCAGTTATATTTCATCTAGTTGCATTGATAGCTTATTGTATGATTATTATGTTTTGATTAAAATGATTCATTTTTGCTTTAAAGGTAAGGATATCCATTTTATTGTTGATTAACAAATTCCATTACACAATTGTATATGACTCTACTGAGATTTTCTATATGTCAGTATGTTGTGCTTTCTAGAACATTTTTAAATATATATTTTAATATGTATTTTTAAATACACATATTATAATACATATTTAAAAGCATTCACCACGTAATTTACACAAAAGGAACTCAACTTATTTAATATACTTGAGTTACTGACACCTCCTTATGTTATTCATACTGATTTTATTTTTTCTTCTTATTCATTGACTCTCTCACTTCTTCCTTTTTACCATATAATTTTTGTCTTCCCATCTGACAATATCACAATGCAAAACGTAATCCTGTCTTTCTCATTTTCTTTTTGTCTTGCCTTCCTTATGAAATCAAAACATGAAATTTACTAATCCCACAGTTGGATATTGTGTATATGCTGTACATATATAACAAATATGTGCTGTAATTTATCTCCCTATTTTTTTCAACACTTTTGAGGTGCTGAATAATGATTTTGAGGTAGAACATCTTACTCGTAGTACAGATTGTTCCAGTACACAGCTGAAGCAAAACCTGATTTGGTTAGAAAGAAGTAATCAATCTGTTGATTATCTAAAACTCATTTTGCTGCCTAGACTTGTTATTTGTATCTTGGTTGTTTTTGTTGTTGCCTTAGAATAAATAAATAAACGAGTGACTTCTAATAATAGCAGCGATCGCTATATAGTGAATTAATAGCAGATTATATGGGGAATGCTGCAAAATAGCATTATTGCTTAGATTTCATATCTCTGTAAAAGAGTTAGCAAGCCTGTCCACTATACAGTAGGCATCAGCCTTGGTATAATTGTAGAATTGTAGAAAAATGTTATAAACACAGTAAAACTTGAGGAAATGAGCCCCAAATTGAATATGATTCAAAAGAATGTAAGTAGCCTGGTTTGAATGGTGTAAGCAACTAAAGAAGAGATGACTTTGAAAGGTATAAAAAAAAGTGGTATTGGAGTGACAGAACTTTATTATCTTCAGAAATACAGACATTTGTATATTTATATCACTTTGAAATTATTAGTGGAAGATTCCAGGAAAATATAATTCCATCAAATTGAAACATCTGATGGAAGAATCTGACAAATAATTCATCTGAGCATATGTGGCAAGCAGTTTCCATGGAGAAGGCATCTTAGTTCCATTCTAACTAGATATAATTTCTTTTTCCAAAACGCACTTCCACTCCAACCAATATTATAAATCAAACTCTGCAGTACAGAATTAAAGCAGAGTAGAAAAATTTGTTCCTTATCTTTGAACTCTTGTCTATTTTCAGTCTTAGGTGAACATCTCTGGCAGGTTTATAGAACTGAAATATTTTATACCTGTGATGTTAAAATATATATATGTAATTATTTTTAGAAATAATAGTACCTCACATGTTTCCATCCACTTTTGAAAATATAAAATCATGCAGTCTATATTTGAAAAATGGAACAATTTATCAGAAGAAAAGCTGCAGTTTTTCTCTTTTATAGCTGATGTTATCTAAAGAACAAATCACAGGAGTGTATACCTCTTTATTGAAGAACTTCTGACCACTAATTTAATTATTTTCTGCCAAAGTGTAATACTAGTTAAAAATATATATAATTATTTTGTTTTCGCAGTTGTTTGTAATTAAGCAATCAATATCAAAAAGCTGGATGCAATATATGCTGTACTGTGTTGCAGATTTGTAAAGCTGTGAGTTTAGCTTGTTATTAGTCTATGAGAAAGGAAATAGAAGACGTGGCAGTAACTTGAAAGACTGAGAATGTTATTAGCTAACGTGTTTAGTAAAGGGCTAATGAATGATTGTTTGATTAAAAGAATTAATTACAAATTCATGTTCAGTGAAGAAGCTTTGAAAATGTCAACTTAAAATTCTCTGTATCTTTGGCTATGTAAGTCTTACAAATGTTTAGAGAACTTTACTAAACAAAGCTAAAGATAGACTGGACAACACAAGGAAACCCAGTGATGCAGCAGAAATCAGTCCAGAAAGTATTTCTGAATCCAGTCAGCAGCTTTACTGTGGATGGTCTATTTCTGACAGGGAACTTTTTTAATAAATGGGCTAGCCAAGACCTGTGACCTGCAAAGTTAAAGAAATATTTTGAAAAAGCATTACCAGAGATTAGCAGCACAGCTTGATAAAAGCCATTTCAAAATATAAGACAGTATCAGCTGATATGTAACCCGTCTATGGTTTGCAGATATTTCTTGGTGTCCCTTTTCTTTCCGTTTCAGTCTATTGAACTATTTTTTGTTTGCTTGTTAATTTGCCTTTTGTTTACTTGTTTGTTTGTTTTGTCCTCAAGGTGTCTACCTGGTCTTGACCTTTTTTCAGTATTAGTTCCCCGCATTCAAAAATAAAAATTGGTAGGTTTGTCCTCCCCTTACAGATGGATTCTTTACTTTCTAACTTTAGATGAGCTTTAGATGGGCTCTGAACTTGTCTTCTGGACTCGGAAGACGACACTGGCTTTTGTCCTCCATGTACTGTGCTATACGTTCTATGTTTTATTACGTTTCAGACCATATATTTTTTGCATATAATCAATCAGCATCTTCAAATAAGAGTGTAGATTCTTTGTTAGCTATTGCTATTAACACTAATAAATATATTATTATATATATGTAATAACTTTCCCAAACTACATAGGTTGCTCTGAAAGTAATACTTCCTATTTATTTCCATGGAAACTATAACAGATACAAAGAGCACTGTAACACTATTTGATAGAGAAAATTCTCAGCAACAAAACACTACTTTTCAACACAGTTGCTACTATTAGTTATGAATTTTTGCCAGCAATTAACCAGAACCTTCATGCTACACTCATAACGTCTGTGTCAGTGGAGGTGGCTCGTTGTCACCACTGCTCAAATGTATCATGTACTAATGTACTACCTCACTGTACTCATGTACACTGGTCTTCATAAATCTTCTGCAAGCGTCAATGAATGTCAATGGGAGCAGTTTTTCCTGCATGGAGGAATTCAGTTCCACACCTTTCCTTCTTATGCACTTCCATGTCAGGCTTGATTTCATCAGACTGCACCTTTGCTGTCATCTGTCACATGACTACAAAATGTAATGGAATTTTGGTAGGAAGGTTCAACCCCTACTGCCATACCACAAACACTTGCCTCTGATATCATAAGCCAAAATAATAAAATAGTAGGCATTACTTTCGGAGCAGCCCTTTTATATATTTTTTTCCTGTGTCAAATGAAACTTGGGATATTTTCATCTGTTTCCATTTAATGGTTTGAGCTATAGCTAACAGGGAGAATATCAAAGGGTGGCTAATTGAGAGGACATTTAAGGGCTTGGCCTTTCTTCAAATCACTGACAGAGCATTTTGGGCAAAGACATGTGAGCAGAACTATTTGTAGTTCTGTGCATGGCAAGAGAGGGTCTTTATGATGAAATGAGCATGGTGGAAAAAATATGATTGTTTTGGGAAGGAATCCATTTATTCAGTGGTGATGGGTTGCTATTCAAATGTTAGATGCTGTTAGATGTTGAGTGCATTGATTAATTTGGGTAGAAACTGAATGTCCCAGCTTAAAGAAATGTTGCCAACATTTAGGCTTGTTTCTACACATCATGTGTTACCTATATGCTTTATGATATAAATAGATTTTCAACATGTAATTACACTTCTGTATATTTTTATGTGGGTATTGAAACTGACCATATTGGCTGTTAATCTTGAAAATTAAGATACTTTGTCAATGTGTTTGTGTAAT